CTGTACTTCATTTCTGCACTCATTTCCAAGCAGTCAGCCTGGTATGTTTTCTGTGTTTGTTTGTTTTTGTTTGAAGTTTAGTGACTTTGATCCGCCAGCCCTCAGAAGTGGTGGGTGTTCCTCTTCACCAGCAAGGGAACAGGTGTGCTGCACTAGGGAAAAATAAGGCTGCACCTGCCACACATTCCTTACCATTCACATACCCGTTCTTTACAATGAATGCATGTTCTGCTGCTGCAAGTGCTAATCCTTCCCAAGCACAGGTAACTCTCCTCTGCCAAGTTCTAATGCTGACAGTATTAGCTCCCTGGGTATAGTAGAATTCTGAGGGTTTGTGGCTAGTGTGTGGCTAGGTTTGAATGGGGATGATCAGAATGATCTGTAATGCAATTTATTTATTAATCTTTAAGACAATCAAGTAATTTTTGTGGCATTTGTAATAACATGTGTTTCACTAATAAGCAGTAGGCCATCAGATTTCTTTTTTTTAGGGTTTATCAGTTTATCATCATTTTCATCTGTGCAAGACAAGGAGAGGATTTTCTATAGTTCCTTTCTTTCTAATTCATTTTGATGATAAAAATATTTCCCCCTCCACAACTTTGCAGTAACCTCTGAAGTGAAAGTGATAGCATGGCACCGAGAAATGTCAGAGGTATCTCCAAAATTCATCACTCTGTCAAAACCCCATGGTTGTGTGTATTTGGGATTTATTCTGCCTGAAGAAGTAATTTAGGATTTAACAGAAAGATATCAAAATAGTCTATTTTTTTTTTTTTAATGTATATAGTCCTGTAAGTATTTCCTTTTTGATTTCACAGACCTGTGGAACATCTTGCACTATTTTGGAAGCTGCCAAACATCAAGACCTTGGGATACCAAAGACATTCCCTTTTCTCTATCAGGAAGTTGAATCCACAAAACAGACAGTAGGTGCTATAAATAAAGCTTTGCCTGAGGAAGTTTGGATTAAAGTTGGAGGTAAACCATTTATCTTCTTTTACTTGCTTTTCTCTTGGTCTTCAAATCTAATTTTTTTTCTGAAGTTTTGTCTTTTCTGGTATTAATATGATTTTAATGAATGTGAAGTTTTTTATGGCAGAGATGCTCAATAGGCAACATGGGGCTAGATTTCTCCAAGAAAGTTCAACACCTATGAGTTTAGCTATACTTTCAAAATTGTTTAGCACTTCTGGCTTGAAATGAGGAGACTTCAGGTTACAAAGTAGCTTTGAAAATCTGGGCCTTGGTCAGCAGCTGGTTTCTTTAGAATCATAGAATCATTAACGTTGGGAAAGACTTCCAAGATCATCAAGTCCAGCCTTTGACCAAACACCACCAAACCCCATGGCAGAGGAGTACATTCTTTGACCCCAAAGCTGATCCAGCAGACCCAGTCAGTATCAAACTGAAGAATGTTTAAGGGCTGCCTCAAGTGCTCACCAAGGGCAGGCACAATCTCAGTGGGATCTCTGAGAAAATTGAAGCTGTGTGGATTTTGGAATAGCAAGTGCCTTAGGTTTTCTGCAGGATATGTCTTGATGTAAGAATCAATATAGACTGGCAGTAAAGCTTCCAAGATTGTTCCACATAAAAAACTTTCCATGATCACTATTTTCAGTTTAGTGGGAGAGTAATAAATAGGTCATTATTTTCATCTTTATTTTTCCAACAAGACACCTTATGCAAGCAAGCCATAAACAGAAGTTGCAGTCGAATAAATCTGTTGGATCCAAACATGGACCGCAAACCTCTCGGTGAGATTCGGAACGCCCGGGACAACAGCCAGAGCACTGCAGCTGCCCAGGGCCCCTGGCAGTCAGCACAGCCCAGCTCCAGTGTGCAGGTACAAAGTGGTTCCCAGGATGGAAGCGCCCAGAGAAGGGAAAGGCACAACCGCCTGGAGAGAGACAGGAGGTAATTCTGGGAGCAGGGGCCATGAAACACCTCTTGAAGCCTAAAATACTGGTACTGCAATACTCTGATTATCCAGAGTAAGTGTAAACTTGACATATTTTGTGTTAACTCCAAGAAAAAGCAGTGCCGGAGGTGAGGGTTTGGTGTTTGTTAGGGGAAAAGAAAATCTCTGTTTCATTGTGGTTGTCTTTGTGATTTTACTCTGTAAACAAACAAAAAGATATTTCCAAACATTTCACCCATTCTGTAAAAATGAGGTGTCTTGTGTGTGACAAAATGAATACACAAAGCTTGTAGCAAACACAAAGCAGTCCCCAAAGTCCATGGCTGGTAGCACATGTGAGTAGTTTTCCTATTTTCTGTATTTTTCCCTTCCCTCTGGCCCGTGGTCGATAACCTTGGGTGTTTGCCTGCAGGCGCAGGATCCGGGTTTGTTGTGATGAGCTCAATCTCCTCGTTCCCTTCTGCACGATTGACACTGACAAGGCAACAACTCTGCAGTGGACAACTGCATTCCTCAAGTACATTCAGGAAAGGCACGGCGACTCCCTGAAGCAGGTTTGAAATCTCATTTCATTTTTGGTCTTGATGAAAATGGGAAATGTTTTAAAGCTGTTATAATGTAGAACTGAGATGCAAAGCTTCTGCTTGATGCTGTTTGTGAAGGACCCACCATATCCTTGAACCTTCCTTTAAATTTTTATTTTTTATTTTTTTCAGCTGTTTGAGTTTTTTTTTTTAGTTACACAACTCCTGAGCATGATCCTATTTGGACAACAATATAAAATTAAGGTTGTCTTCAATCATTCCTCTTCTCCTTCACTGTCTCTATTTTCTCCCTCTTTCACAGAGTTAGTTCAGGGAGGGGGATCACAGCTACATGCCCACACTGTATTGAGTGGGTGAGCAGAGTTAAAGGGTTACATGCTTTAAAAGCAGCTCCCGTTCTCCTCAGCAGTAGTTGCAGTTCCAGAGTAATTCTGGCTCTGCCAAAAATTTTAGGAGGGTGTGTACTGGAAAACCTGCTGGTCTAGGTACAGGTATGGCCCCTCTTCCTTCCTATTGAAGGCTCTAGAGAAACAGAAGCGTCCATCTCAAGTAAATATCTACATTAAATATAACATTTATCATTTGTATTTTGATTTTTTTTAGGAATTTGAGACTGTGTTCTGTGGTAAAACAGGCAGGAGACTAAAAATTGGAAGACCAGACTCATGTGTAATGTGTCCAGCACAGGAAAACCGCACAGCTATGGAGACCAAATAGCCTGACCTGCCCACCCTGAATGGTGTGACAATAGTCCAATCCGTGTTTTATTATTTACATGCTGAATAGGAATTTGAAAGTGTAACTTGTAAATATATATAAATAGAAATTTAAAGGAAACATTCTTTAGTGCAAATGGAAGTTAACTACCAGCAATGGAAATCAGTGCCCTGTTCAAAGGGTTTTGGGACCAGAAGCTACAAGAAAATGTCATGACTACGTATTTATACCTTTATACCAGTTATACAAAATTTGCTTGTCAATCTGCTTTGGGGTCTTATTTAATTGTTTGCTTTTACCTTCTTTTTTAAAGATGATGCAGTACAGACTGGAAGAGATGTAGAACATCCATCTGCCTGTTACTTTAATGGCTAGATGCAAACTCATTCTTCCAGTGTAAAAAGAAACTAAAGTTACCATATTATAATGCCCATTTTTTCACTTAAAATGTAAATATTGTATTGGTTATTTGGATGAGTGCATAGTTTCTAAACTGTGCGTATTATGAATTTTGCATATATATTTAACATAATTAGCTCCAAAGAGTAGTGCAATGGTGTTGACATTTTTAAATTCAGTACTACTTTTAATGTCTGCCACACAACTGTCCAACAGGTTCTTGTGCTGTTACTTAAGACCAAAAGTGGCATATTTTAAATAGTAGATATTTAAATGCATAAAGTATTTTTATATTTAAAGAGGAATATGATGCTTTGTTCATAGGCTTTGGCACGGACGGAAATAGAACTGTGTGTGAGCTGAGAGGGGTTTTATTAATTTTTTAAAATAGATGATGCTAGCAAGTTTTAAAGTATAAAAAGTTCTACCAAAATTAATACTGGTTTAAATCACGGATAAGAACAATTGTGCAGCAATTTATGTCCAAACAATCCTAGTAAAACCAGTTCTGGAAAATGCAGTTTAGCCAAGTTAATTTGATTTGTATAATGACATTTACAACATCACAAAGAAAAGGTTAAAAAAACTCTCCTTTTATTTTTACAACAGTTCATACAGGTGGTTTTGGCTGGAGTTTAAAAGAGCATCCTTTCTTAGGCGGTGTTCCATCACAATTACTGTGCAAATCGCTGAAGTAGAGGTCATGAAAATGCTGTTACTTCATTTCCTTCGTTATCATATGGAAATATACAAAAATTCTTCCCTGGAAATTAAAATATTTATATTACTCCTTTTGCAGAATCTGCTTGCAAGAGGATTACTGTTTACTAGTCTTGGCAAATGTTTGAGGTGCAATCTGAAAATTTCTAACTGGCAGCACAGACTAAAGCAATGGTCATTCCTTAGGCCAGAAGGTTCAGATATTAAAATACAGGATATTGAAATGCCTGATTTCCACTGATGGAAGAGGCAGCTCGGTGCCTGAGTGCCTTAACAACGTGTCTGAGTGCACAAACCTGCAGGACTGAAGTCAGTGGGAGCAGCACCAAGGAATTCAGTGGAAAAGGCTCAAACTTTCTTAGCAAAAAGTCGTGATCTTTAGTACATGGGGGGTGATGGTAAAAAGGAGCAATGCTTCCTCTTGCAGGTCTCTTGAGCAAAGGGAAGAAGGAAAGGTGAGGTTGTTTAGCAGTAAAAATTCTGGAAAATAATTGGGGAGCGGAAAAGATAGTCATAAAGCATCTTTTAATTAAAAAAGTTTTCATCTGATGCTTTCTTTTTCATAGAACTGTGTCAAAGTCTCCACTTAATAGAATAGAAGGAGCATCTGTCCTTTTAGCACTAGAAGGATTCTGTTTTCTTACAATGCACTGTTTATTTAAATATTCAGTCACTTCTTCACTTCTTGTACTGTTGGTTTATGATTTTTTGGAAGTTGATGCAGCAACAGCTCCCATGCAAGCCGACGTGTCACATATTCCTGGAGTTCCCTGAGCCCCAATAGTCCCAGGAGTCCCAGGATCCCCTGGCAGCCCAGGTTCACCCTGAGCACCATCACGGCCGTTTTTGGTAATTCCAGGCACACCAGGTGGTCCTAAACAAGAGAGGGGAAAAGATACATGAAATATTTCCATCTTTTCTTTTTTAATATCTGTATATATGTGTTGATTTTAGAGATCTTAATATACTTTGAGTGTCTGTACATCACACTTGTTATGGCCTGTTGAGTACAAGGTGTTTTCAATAAATTTACCCTGAATCTGGAGTATGTGCTTTGGATTTTTTTATCCCTAATTTGGTCAAGGGCTGTTTTGGTTGTGTGACCTCACAGTTCATTAATATGGATTAATGCAATTATTTTATGGAAGATTCTGAGACAACGTGGTATAAATATTGTTCAATTCTATGGTATAATTTTTGTGGAAGAATTTAAGATAACATGGTTGTAAATATTTTAGCTGTATGAAATTCTGTGAATGGAGAGCCTGCTTTTGGTGCCTGAAGTTTATTCGTTGTACAGGTATAATCCCAATCAAAAAAAGCTGCTTTAACATGAAAGCAAAATAAAGAATATTCTTCCAAGTATTAATTATTTTGCATAAATTAATCTTGAATCTTTTAATAAGTGAATCATCAGGAAGCAGGCATCATCCTTTCCCTTAATCTGGAGAGCCTCAGAGTTGTCACACACCTTTAAATTAGTGATGATAATCTATTGCCATCAGCATGCAGAGCTGTCCCTCCTCAGCCTTCACTTGAGTGATGAAGCATTAAATCATTTCCCCACACTTACCCTGCAGCCCTTGGTCACCATCAGGCCCATCGATGCCTTGGCCAACAGGTCCTTTATCTCCCTTTTCACCGGTGTCACCTTTAATCACAAACACAATTCCCACAGTGAGCTGTGCTCTGCAGCTGGAGCCACGGACAGGAAGGGGAGAGAACAAGAGAAGCTACAAATGCTCTGGATGCTGCAGGGATCTTTGCTTACCTGGCACCCCTCAAGGTGCAGGACTCCATCTAGAACCTCCCCCCCAAGACCTGACCTCTTTTCCCCAGTGCTGAGCTCAGTACAAGTTCACAATTGATTTCAGTGGGCATACAAGAGAAGCAGATTGTTTCAGTTTTAACTTGCCTCTGGGCCCAGGATCACCAAGCTCTCCTGTTGGCCCTCTGTATCCAGGAGGCCCCCGAGGACCAGGATGCCCAACACTTCCTGTGGTTCCAGGAGGACCTGGGGGCCCGGCTGGGCCAGGCCGTCCCGTCATTCCAGGAGCCAAGGGCTTCCTCAGGTTAGCAGCCAACTGTGCAATTTGCTCTGAAAAACACAATTAAACACTGCATCTCCAACATTTGCACTCTTTCTTTGGGCAGAACTTCCTGCCACTGCTCCTGGCAGAGGGAAACATTGAATCTGTCCTTCTCCAGCTAACCCGGAGCTTTTTGGGGTTTTTTTTTCCTCATCTCCACAGACAGAGATTTTAATCATAAATCTGCAGGGTTGATTATTCCTGTTTCTAAAACCACTTTAAAGGATGTCACGTATTCTAACAAATGACACTTAAATAATTAAAACAAGATTCCTGAAGCAAACTTTCAGAGTTTAACCTCATCCCAAACAGGGAATGTAACCTCCAAAGGCTGAACAGTCACTTTAAAGAGAGAAGGACACTCCCTGAGGATCTCCAAGGAAACAAGGTGCACTGAAGAGAGGTGAAGTTCAGAATGACACAGGTTAGGGCAGGAGGTCTCACACAACACTTGTGCCAAAGCTGCTTGCAGTGCATTTTGACCATTGCCATGATGAATCATTTAAAAATACTAATTTTAGAACACCAAAAGACATCCCCAACAAGGTGACCTCCTGAATAATTTCCTTACACTAAAGGTCAGTGTATTTTTTTTCATATGAAGACAAAAAATTAACAAATCTCAGAAGCCATTTTATGTTCAGGATCTACTCATAGGGTAATTAAAGTCACTTTTCTCTCAGTAATACTCACCATTTATCATTTCCCCACAGAGTTCTCTGATATGTTGTTCACTGGCCTCTTTTCCCTGCAGTTAACAGAATAATTTGTCCTTGTAAAAACCTCCTTATCAATAACCAGCCCTGGCAGAAGCTGCAGGACACAAAACACATTTCCAGAAGCTCAGGAAGCAGCACAGGGTCCTGCATGAAGAGCAGGGGGTTCTTTCCCCTCTTCAAAAGGTGACAGCTTCCCTTCAGAACTCTGCTGTATGAATGGCAGAGATTAACGTTAGGCCAGATATTAAATCTGGGATTTATTTGGCCTTATTTTTGCCTGTTGAAATGCAGGACCTTTTTTTTTGGATAGCATCCAAACCCCAGGATCCATTTGTTCACTTCACAGGCTCCCTGACTTTGCTGCAGAAGCAGCAGGTACTTACAGGAGGTCCAGGTTTTCCTGTGATGCCAGGGACACCCCTCTCTCCCTGGTGACCCATGGGTCCTGGATGTCCTGGGATCCCTGGTGCTCCAGCTGTCCCATTAGGTCCTTGGACACCTTTTGGACCAAGTTCTCCTCTTTTTCCTGGCTGCAGCGAAGAACAAAAAAAAAAAAAGACCAAAACCACTTAAAATGGAAGTCCATTTTTTTCTCCTGGGGGTGAGTTAAGAGTTTGTTCATGTTTCCTGAACTGATCTGGATGATCAGATACATTTCTTATATCCTAAGGGCGTTTTTGCATATATATAGGTCATGATAAGAGCAGTGCTTGCTGCAGCAAAATTATCAAACAGATTTCAATAGCTGGAATTCCACAACCCCCCATTTTTCTCACAGATTTTATAGCATGGTTGTGAGGAAAGCCTGCTTCTAGGGAATGACACCAGAGCAGAGTTTATTGTGTAGTTCTAAACATGCTGTGGTCATACTTACTCCTAAATCCTTTGAGCCATGAGCCCCAGTGTCTGACACTTACCTCTCCTTTTTGGCCAGGGGGTCCAAAGGGACCCTGTCAGAAAGAAAAGGGAAATAAGAAAGAATAATTTATTGAGAAAATGCACGTCTGAAGCCCAGTCTCCCAAGGTGCTGTGACATGTGCAAGGCTTGAGTAGCCTTCTTTTCACAGCAGGGTTGGAGATCTTGGGTGATTGATTCTGACTGACCATAGTGATCCATGGCTTTCTGGAACCGTCTGTTATTTGAGAAGTCAAACTCTACTGAATTTAAGGACACCTACCAGCTCTCCTTTGTCACCTGGCAGGCCATCTGCTCCAGCAATGCCCTGAGAGAGAGACCAGAGTTAACACTGCACCTACTGCTGACAGCAGCATCACCCTGAGGCCTGGGTAACCTGAGGGAGATGGGGGCTCTCAGCAGCCACAGCTGCTCCAGCAAGAGGAAGTTCTCTCTTCCCAGGGCTGAACTCCACAGTAGCTGCTCCCCTGCATGAGGACTGATGCCCTTTGCCACCGGCTGGGACCCAGATGGAAGGCTGAACTCACACGGATGAGAACCATGATGGGTTGGCCAAGGAAGACATCCACAGGCTGGCACTGGCATTCCTCAAACAGGGAACCTAAATTTCAGCTCCCCCTGCTCTGTGTCTCAGAAAACATGAGTTTGCACCCACAGGCAAAGGTTGAGTGTCCCTGTTCTCATGGCCTCCTGAGCAGAACATCATCCCACCCTCAAACTGATCTCTTGGTGAGGAACACCCCTCTCCACGCCTGGGGACAGGAATGCAAGAGTGGCTGAAGCTCTGGTGACATCCACTGTAGCAGCCAGGCCAGGGAGCTTCCCTTTGCTGCTCACCTCCAGGCAGCAGCAGCCTGAGCAATCTGAGCATGGGGTGACACAAATGCCTGCAATCGCTGCCCTGCCCAAGGCAGAGCTGGCTCACCACACAGCTCTGTCATTAGAGCAGATAATGAACATTGTTATGGTGACTCGGTGGCTTTCCAGAGGAAGTTATCCCAAGACAAACAGAGATCAGGTTGGTCTTTCCCCTTAGCAACAAAACAGAGACCACACTGATGCTGGTACACCAAACCAGCCAGGCTAGGAAAGCCTCACTTTCTGCAAGAACACAGTCATGCATTAATGAAAGCCATATATTTGATGAAAACTGGCCCAAAAGCTCATTGCTGAGATTAAACCAAGCTTGGAAAGTTGAGCAGCAACAAATATCAGATTAAACTAGTTCATTAGTGTGCCAGACTTAGAGGTTAGGGTGAAATATCCCTCATCAGGCACATGAAGTCGAGGAAAAGCTGCACTTCTAAACTTAACTCGGGAGGAATTTGATGTGAGGAGCTCCTGCACAGATCCCTGTGGCCACAAAACATGCAGCAAGGGCCTGGTGTTTGTATCACAGCATTTTCATGAGCCTCCATTAGAACAGACAACATCTGTGCCAAGGCAAGGAAAACGGAAGCAAAGAGAGTTTTGGTTTCTGCTGCAGAATATTTTCATTTGTGGAAGAGAAAGCCATTTGTGCTATAAAAAACTGTCCCTGAAATTTGCTTTAAATGCCTTTGCTGACAACAGCATGAAAGTTATCACTTACCTGGTTCCCCTTCGGACCAGGAACACCAACAGGACCCTGAAAATAAGTAAGAGAAAAAAGGCAAATAAGCTCAAACTGTTGCTTCCCTGTGAATTCCTGGTGTGGTCAGACACTTGCTCAGCAAGGGGTCAGAACCAGTCTCCCAGCTGCCAAGTAGGAGGGTGCAAATCTCATTGACACTTCCTAGAAATAAGAAGGGATTTAAGCACCCCTGCTAGCTCTGTGACACTCTCCACAGTCCCTGGTTTGTGTTGTGGGACAATTTCTCAGTCTGCAATGTGAGGAGGAGCTTGCATTTACTCATGGTATAAAACAGACAAGAATATTTTCATACCACAAGGGCAAAAAGCCAAGATGTTTTTCCAAGGCCTCATTAGACTGTCAGTTTTCCTAGGATTTACAAGTAGGTGCTCCTGATTTAAAGATTCATGGAACAACATGGCCATAGGAATAAAATACATTTAGATGATGAACTGATTATCACCCCAGGAATAATCCAGGCAATTTGGAAAATCCTTCCATCTTCATTTACCTGACACTCACAGAGAGGACATGAGACATTTTCAGCCCTATTTATCATTTTTCTGCTCCACAGAGCAGAGCCAACAAGGAGTTGAGGAGAGCCCCAGACTTTTTTCTCTACTGCAAAATCTGCATGTGAAATTCAGCCATTTTACCCTTCAAGCAGGATTTCTGCAGCACACTCATCAATCTGGCATCTGCAAACTGATCTTTTTTTATTAACTGGATCTAGAGATGGCTCAGCAGAACAGAATCTTCAAGGAGGACAAACACACACAACAAGGACATTTTATTTTGCTCAATTCAAACACTAAGTTAAAAAGAGAGGGGATTTCTATTAATGAAAAATAACTCAGAAAAACAGACAATGGAATGTAGAAATGGAAGAGCGGCTAAAACTGTTTATAACACCTGTTTTATAGTTGCTGATAGCAAAAATAATATATTCCTTTCTCAACATTTTTCTCAACTTTCTCATCTAAATTTGTATCTCTGACTTCACAGGGTCTCAAGGCTCCATGAACATTTAAGGCAATAAAACACAGTTAAGTCACCAAACACCAAGTCCTGCAAGGGACATTTCCTTAAAAACAAGCTTAACCCAGAGGATTTTCATTCAAAACCCGAATTCACTGCAGTGATAATTCCTAGCAGCAGGAGCAAGGAGTTCAGGACTGCCAGCCCCATGGCTTCACAAGTTTCATCTCATCAGTTAAACAAAACTCCAAACAAACAAACCCAAAAATGGGTTTGGCCAGGCATTTAGTGCTCCAGTAGGGAGCCCAGACAGGCAGTGCCCCAGGTGGCTGCTGGCATCCAGAATCCTCAGGAATTTGATCACAATAAAAATCCTTAGGAAAAATATTTATCTATTGCTGCCTCAGTCAGCAACATCAGCCAAACCCTTCCCCTCCCCATATCCTGCTCCAGCAAGATGGTTGATGTATTTTATCTCAATGCTATTTTATACCTTACAGTCAAATGCTCTAAACCACTCGTGTTTTTCATGCCAGCAAACACATTCACTGAAATGCTGGTTTATATTCCTGACCACAGTCAGCCCAAGGACTGTGAAAAAGCCTGTCAGTACTCAGCTCAGGCATGAGGGGATTTTTCTTTTTTCACAGAAAAGTCTCAGTTGATTTCAGGAGAGTTTGATGAGTTGGCTGCAGCTGGGACGAGGTAATTGCATCGATCCTGAGTGTGCAGTTCTCTTTATCCACGTCAGGACCAGCAGCAAAGCAAGCCCAGGGCAGATCTCTGGGCTCTTTTTGTGTCCCCAGCAGCTGCCACCACCCCCAGCAGCACAGGCTGTTTGTTTAGGCTATAAAAACACAATCTGAGGGCTTAGGGTCAACCACCACCATGGTCACCACTAAACCATGTCCTCAAGGGCCACATCCACGCCTGGCTGGAACACTTCCAGGGATGGGGACTCCACCACTTCCATGGGCAGCCTGTTCCAGTGCTTTACAACCCTTTTTGTGAAAAAAAAAATAAATTCCTAATATCTAATCTAAACCTGCCCTGGTGCAGCTTGAGGCCATTTCCTCTCATTCTGAGCAACCAACAATCACATCTTAGAGTATTCCACACTGAACTTCAGAGCCAGAAATACAACCTAGATTAATTTTCATTGCTTTAAGCACAACGTTTTCCCTCCCTCTGCTTGGAGCAGCTCCCTGGGCACTTCATGCAGGGGCCTCTTCCCCCCTGAATGTATATTTTTCACCACAGCAAAGCCCTGAATGCAGTCAGGAGCCCCACAGCTCCACAATAACGCTCCTGTTTCACACTTCCAGCTCACATCACTCCAAAAGGCTTTTTTAAACCTGCCAGGAGCCAGCACAGAAGGGCCATTGTGGAACCCCTGTGGTGCTGCTGCAGTGGCTTACACAGAAAGCAACTTAAAGCTTTTTTTAAAAAAAAATCTTTCACCTTAAAGTGGGGAGGAGGGAGCTGGTGAACACATGGCTCCTGTTCTCCTGCAAGCTCCCAACAAATGCTGTTCACTTTGCCCTATTTGCTTCTTTCAAATGAGAATGAACTCATTTAAATAAAAAGTCACATTTACTGTGAGGTGGGATGCCCAGGTGTTTTGCTGTTCAGAAAGAAAAGTCACTGATAAAACTGTAATTTAAAAAAAAAACAGAAAGTCTAATCAAGCATCTGAGTAACAAAAATTCATGAATCAGCTCTCTTGTGCTCCTGGGGAGCGAGGCTTTAGTGGAATCAGTATAAGGAACAGGGAAAAATGTTCTCTATTCTGGCTAGGATAAGACCTGGAAGTTGCTTTTAAACAATGTACCCTGTCTGAAAACAGTGGGAGTTTCTGAAGTGAAACAGAAACCAGGAACAGAGGGGACAGGATGGAGCAGTCCTGCTCCCTGCCCCGAGGTCTGACTTGGGCAGCCTCAGGGGAGGGCTTGGGACACCCAACACACATCAGCTACACCAGGTTTTGGGCCCTCATTATCCTCTAAATTCCCATCCCAAGCAGGAATTAGTCTTAGGTTCGTGTCCTTACCCTGTCACCTGTCTCTCCACGGATCCCAGTCGGGCCAGGAAGGCCAGGCTCACCACTGGCACCTTTGGGCCCCTGTTGGGAAAACAAAAACCAAGTTACAGCTGACAGTGCCAGAGACCCTGCACCCTTTGACACTCTGGAAGTTCACCAGCCTCCATAACATGTTCAGAAAGGTTATTTTTTGGATAATTTCACTCCTTTTTCCCCCAGCACCTGGGGACCCCTTGTGATGGTCGGTACCAGCTCCTCTCCTGGTCCACAGCCAAGGTCAGGCACGTGCCAAGGTGCTCCAACCTTTGGCCTGGGGTCTTTCATTAATAAACCTCTTAAAAAGCATTAAACCTTCAATATCTGTGATCCCACCAAGTGATGCTCCCCTCAGCCAGGGCCAGTGGGAGGTCCCACACCCTTGGAGAAGGGAGGGAGAAATATTGGAGAGCCCAGTGCAGCAAAAGGGAGGAGGAGTTCACTGAAGAAATACAGGCAGAGAGCAGACCAGATCAAGGAGAAATTGAGGTGTCTTTACGGAGATCAAACTCAAAAAATCATACAACAATTTGGGTTGGAAGGGATCTTAAAATTCAGCTTGTTCCACCACCTGCCCCAGGCTGGGACACTTCCAGCAGAGCAGGCTGGTCAGGGCCCCATGCAAGCTGGCCTTGGGCACTTCCAGGGATCCAGGGGCAGCCACAGCTCCTCTGGGCATCCTGTGCCAGGGAACAGGCTCAAAACTCAAAACTCAACTCATCCCTTTGCAAACAAACACTAAATATAAATTGCTCCTGCAGGCAGCTTATCTGGCCTTGTGCTCTTCCTCCCATCCCGTGGCAATGAAGGTGTCACACTGGCTCTGGCAAATGCAAAGACATTTCTCCCTTTCCCTCATGCCATCACCCAGCTGTCTGGCCAGAGGTTTGCAGAGAGCACTGCCCTGCCAGAACACAATGCCCACAATTTCCCCTCTCACCACACTGACCTGGAAACCTCGGACACCTCGGGCTCCTGTGGGGCCTTGGAGGCCAAGTGGTCCCTGGAAAGAGAGAGATCAGCTTTGGTAAGGAGAAAATGTAGGGCCAGGTAAGTCATTTGTGTCATTAACCTGGCAGAGCGTGCAGCTCTGTGCTGCAGCACTTCACCCCATGGCACTGCTGCTGAACCACTGCCAAGTGGCGTTTGCTGAGCTCTGATAATTGCAGATAATATTCTGTTATTAACAGAAAGGCTTCTTTGGATAATCCATGCTTAAGAACATACCATGCTCAGGAGTAGCAGAGATCAGGGACAGCAAAAAGTGGCAGCATGATAGAGCATAGACAACATCCATTAGAGGGATCTGCTATCCCAATATTATGCTTTTAATTGATTGCAGGGAACTACTGCAAAACATGTGCTGCAGGCCCTTGGAAATGAGAAATGGTAATTGCATCCATTTGCTTGGACATCCAGCTTGGTTCCAGCAATGTACAGAAAGGCAGCAGTTCATGCTGTCAGAGCAGAGGCTTTTAAGAGCTCACCAGACAGAACATGAACGTTGCCATTAGGAGTCTCTATTGCCTTCTCCTGAGAAAAATCACATATCCAATAAAGAGCTTGGATGAAAAAAAACCCCAACCAAAACTACCCTAAGTAATTCAGGCATTTAAATCTCATTTTGTAAACTGTCTTCTCGAAATAGATGTCTTCAGCAAGCTTCTGTCACGAGGCAGGGCTGCAGCTTTGGCTCCTTTCAGTGCCATCCCTGCTGGGTGGAGCATTCAGGGACACAAATAAACCTCAAACTGGCCACTGACATAAAACAGCATCATCCTCAAAAAGCTGAACAACTGCTCAGGTATTTCTGTGGTTACTGGTTTCCACTTTGTTTTTCGCTTATAATTCAGGAAGGAACTTTGAAAGTTGTATGTACAAAGCTTTAGGAAAGTTAAATTAAATTGCATCAAAAATAACTCTGCTGAGCTGCTGGTGGGGCCTGACAGGTTTTGAGAAACACTTGGTACTCAGAGCTAAAAAAAAACGAATTGTTTGGAGCCAAACAGCCTTAACACTAGAAAAATCCTGCACCTCTCTTGGAACAGCCCAGTCTTAACCAAAAAAATATGATTCTAATAAAACAAATCAGAAAGAAGAAGCCCAGGTTAGACATAACCATGGGTTCAGCTGCAACTGCACCCCTGTCAAAATTCTGCACCAACACAATTAGCTCAACTGCTTCTGATTTTCAGCTGTAATAATGTGGTACCTTTTGTGAGGCCAGCAACTTTGATGAAAAATTACATAAAAACAAATATTATTAATATAGTTTATTTCTAAAGCTGATTTCCCTCTCCTTGGAAGTTTAAGCAGCAGCAGCTCATAAACAATAAATCATGCAGTTCAATTTTTTCCAAGTGGCACATACCAGAAATCATATTAAACTTGCTGTAGGCTCCTGGATTTCAAAATGAGATTAAGATGGGGGAAAAAAAAAGACAATAAAAAGAAAAAAACCCCAACAAAACCACTAGAAGATCAGATCCAACCCCAACAGCAGCACTAGCTGGGGAGTGACAAGACAAAAAAAGGTACCCAAACATTTTTAGTAGTGGGATCAAAAATCAGGGTTTTACCCTCCTGGTATTGTTTGTTATCATCTCTGCTGCTGAGCAGGGACACAGCAGGGAGCCATGCAGTTATTCCCAGTTTTGTAGGGAATCCCTCTCTGCTGCTCCAAGGAAAGGGATGCAGGACTGGGGGGGTTTCAGGTGCCATGTGCTGGTGGCAAAGTCCCAGAGCTCTGCTTCACCAATGCCTCACTGCAGCATGGGCAGAACCTTCTCATTCCTGTCTAATTCTGACTGTCCAGTCCCTCCTGGCACACTGTGGCAGCTCCACAAACCTCCTGGACAGCTGCAGTTTGCTCTGCCAAGCGAAATGGGAGGGATCCCTTGGCATTTGCATGGAGCTGTCAGTGAGAACAGGATCTGACCCAGCCTGGGGGGGAATTTCTCTGCTGCCAAAGCTCCCCAGAGACACCACTGACAGAAAAAGTGACCTCTTACTGTAGCCAGAGAGTGACCCCCCACCCCAAACTCTATTCTGGCCCCTCTCTGGTTTACAGACAGCTCTGTACTTACAGTTGCTCCTCTGGGTCCGGGCAGGCCTCTCTCACCAGGAATGCCAACATCACCCTGCCAGGACACCAAAGCCAGCTGTGATATTGAGGAGCCACAAATCCACCCTTCCCACCCCGCTGGGATGTATTCCTGGATGCCAGGCTGTTCAGTCCCAAACTCCTGCCCCACTGGCCCCTCTGCCAGCCCACAGCTGGTGGGTTTCACCCAGTGCCTGTGCCCAGAACCTGCCCAGCCAGCTCAGCGCTCCCTGGGGAGCTCCACACCCCTGTGGAATGCCTGGAGTGCTCAGTCCCCTGGGACTGCAGGTGCTGCATCACTGGAAACTTCATTTATGCAAGGAAGCAGCACATGAGCTCCAGCTCCCAGGTTTGGTTTAAAACTGACCAGCAAAGCCCATGATAAGTGGAAATCTGGGACACTTACAGGGATGCCTGGCTCTCCTGAGGGACCTGCCTCTCCCATCTCTCCAGGGCTGCCCTGCAGAGCACAAAGCAAACAGTTAGGGCATCACTTCAGGGAGCCACTTCTGTCCTACCTGAAGCAACAAAAGGAGGAAGGAGTTAAAACCTGGATCAGAAAATAAAAACAGCTTTAAACTTTTACACTTTAGGCAAAACTTGCAGCACCAGATGAGCTGCACACTCTCTCCTGGCACCAGGGAGGGCTGCCAGACCCAGGGCAGTGTCCCCATGTCCTGTGTGAGATAAGGATCCCAGGACATCCCATCACATTCACTCCTGCAGCACCTTCATATCAGGAGGAGATTCCTGCACCACCTTCCTACAGCGTGCTCTCCTCCCTGAAGATTAGCAGCAATAATGATGCAGAGGGGGAAAACTCATAAAGAAGAGGAGCAGGTGGAAAAAAGACACCTCTCAGAACAGCTTTGTGCTGGACTGCTTTGGTCTGCCCGAGGTTTTCTTTAATCTCACAGGTAGGTGTCAATCTAAAGCTCCAAGGAATTTTTTCTCCTGAGGGAAAATCTGCAGAAGGCAAGATGAGATCATTCTGCTCCTGCTGATGCTCAGCCTTTTGATTCCCAAAGATCAAGCCTCCTCCTGGGACTTTGACAAAAGGATGAGGTTTTCTAAACCACTGATGACTCTCCTGTATATCTGCTGTGTCTTTACTGAACCAGGTGCCAGCCCAGTTATTTTACCTAATTCCTGCTCTTCAGCCCCAGCAGAAATACAGAAACCATCACTTTAGGGTAAATCCTCCCAATCCCAAAGCTAAAAAGTCTTGCTGTGACCAGTTTCTCTACCAGACCCCATCATTAGAGAGATTCACTTACTGGTTCACCCTTTGAGCCTTTAATACCTGCTCTTCCAGGCAGACCCTGAAAAAAATTATATTAAAGCAATGTCAGAAGAAGTGAAGTTATTAAATTTGTTATTCTGGTCTGATTTGACACACAAGGAGCGACCTTTGCTTGAAGCAACAAAAGGTTGAGAGTTCTGTAGCTTTCACTTTAAAAATTAGGATTTTAATGTATCTCTTGCTGCTTTTGCAGGTCCATGAACACTAATCCATGAGAGCAAAGAGCAGGAATATACAAATAGACCACCAGCAGCAACATTTTGAACAGCAGAAACCTCTCTCCAGGGGTGTTCAAAATATTCTGTAAATGCAGGAAGAAAGGTATACTTTATCTTTTTTAAATAGTTGGAAGTCTGGAGAGATGAAACATTTTGCCAATAAGCACTGGTATAAGGCAGGGACAGAGCTCAGGATGTTATATCCCAGGTCTTCCCTCCCTCCATAAGGGATGCACAACAGTGGGATGTGAAAGAGAAAATCCCTCTCAAGTTTAGATTTTAAGGGGTCAGAGAAGCCAACAGGCAGGGAATTACTGTGTGGTGCTGCTCCAGGTATTCTCCAGTCCTGTCTGGCACACTCCTTCCCTGTCTGCATGCTGGGAAAAGTGCATTTCCTCTTGGCTTAACTAGAGCTCCTTGTGAAACAAGCCCCAGAATGACCCTCCCCTGTCCCCAGGAAGGATCTCTGCAGGCACACTGGAACCCCAGAGGTGGCAGGTCCTGCTCCATACTCACAGGAAGTCCATTTGGCCCCTTCTCTCCAGGAGCACCCATGGGAGTTGCGTCGCCCTGTGGATAGGGAGAGGTTAGGAGAGATCCTGCAGCACTGGGAAATGGCCTGGCACAGGTAGGGGACACAGTCCCAAACAGGCTTTTGGACTTTCCTCCCTCCCTGTATGCACAGGACCAAGAGCTGTTGTGGCTAGAGGAGGGAGCACCCACTGGACAGGGGCTCCCAGGTGTTTCCCTACTTCCTGCAGCTCCCAGCCTTCCCTGGCAGCACGTGTTCAATATTCCTGCAGGAGCACGGCTCAAGAACCAGGCAACCAGTACCTGACAGCACTTTGTCTCCAGGCTATTGAAGTCAACTCTGTCAACAGCTCTGAAAAGGCATCTCTGAAGGCCTGGAGTCCTACACCCAGGGACACAGCTGGGCTTACATCATGTGTGCACCTTCCTTCTTCAGGGAATTCCCTTGGGATTAACTAATAGGGGAACTTCACTCTACTTCACTAGTGACAACACTAGAAAACTTTTTAGAAGGAAAAACTTTCCAGCCAAGCTTCTTGAGGAGCATCAGTAGCTTTGCAGCACTCCCAGCAGTCTCGGGAATCTTCCCTGCAGTGTTTAAGTAGGACTTTACAAACCTTCTCACCATCGAGTCCAGGAGCTCCATCCCGCCCATCCTTGCCAGGCATTCCCTGCAATCATGGACAGCACACGTTTAGGTCAGGAGGAGGCTCTGTGGTTTGCAAAATACATTCACATCAAAGAAGCTTTTGGCAACGAGCCCAGCCCCAGTTGTACTGGGAGATTTCCATTAACAGCATTACAACTGTGGCTGAGTCCAGTGGGTTTACACAGAGACACGCAGAGCAGAAGCTTGACAGCAAAGATGGCAAGAAACAGCTTTTTCCTATCGTGTTTTATCTCCTCACCTGCAAGCAAGACAAACAGCAAGACCTGTGTCCTACTTAATTCACTTACAGGTTCTCCTATGAGTCCACGAGCCCCTGGGTTTCCTTTTGGTCCAGGTTTACCCTGGAAAGCAACAATAAATCCTGTGATAGCCTGTGTAAACCTGAAGAACAGTCAACAAAGATCATGCTCAAATTCTGTAGGGACATTTCATTCCATTTCAGCTGGGTCCTCTGTCCAAGTAAGCTGTTTTGGAACACCAGGAAACCAGCCCACTGCTGGATACAGCACCTGGGAAAACTCTTGATCCTTTCCAGGGATGGGGATGTAAGATCTGCTCCCCGTGCTCCAGGCTGTAGCAGCACTTGGACACCTTATTGCTCAGGCATCTTCAGTAAGAGTTAAACATCTCATTTTTGAGATGGTGCTTCCATCCCTTTCAAGCAAATGAAGGGGGCACAAGCCATAATAAACCTATGGAACAGTCTTTGGGCTGTCAGTCACATCCCAGGGTGGAGCAAAGGGTGTTTGACTGCACTTACAGTGTCACCTTTGGGCCCCCGGAATCCCTGAGGTCCTTTGCTCCCTTGGTCCCCCTGTGAGAGAGGAGGAAAAGCTATTAAACATCTCCATCACTCAGAAGTTGCTGCTTTGAGGGTGAAATGAGGAGGTTTTGGTGCTGTTTGCTGGTGTCAGCAGAGGTGTGAGCACACACAGGCCCCGAGAGCTCGGCTGTACTTTCTCAGTTACATTCTAATTCCTGACACACTTTCTGCTGCAGGGACTTTGCCAACAATCCCTCAGGGCAGAGACCATCTGCCCTTCATTCAATGAAGCAATTTCTTTAAGCAGAAACAGAATGGAAGAAAAGCTTTAATATTTACTGTCTAGATCCTGCTGGCTGTAATGAAAGTTTGGTGAGAAAGCACCTCATTTTATTTTCATTTGGATGAATTTCTTCTATAATTGCAAGACTGGGAAGGGGTCCCCAGAGGGTGGTGCTGCAGAAGGGAGCTCTGCAGAAAGATGGGGATTGCATCCTCAGTACACAGCTATTGGAGCAAAAATCCTTGAGAGCCGTGGGCACCTGGGAACAGACCAGGTTCAAGGGATGTAAGCTCACAACAGGGCTGAGGGAATGGATATTCCCTTCTCCAGTGCTTGCCCACAGCTGCTGATGCTCAAGGAAGGGTAGAGAAGCACAGAGAGCAATGAAAATGTGGTGAATTTATTCTGGTGTGAGGCATGGCGAAGGGAGAGGCATCATGAAGTCTGGGTCAGGTAAAATAACATTGCTCTAAGGCAAAGGGAATAATCTGATGGAGGTGGTCAGCACAGCCCCCTGCTCACTGGCAGCAGAGCTCAGCAAGGGGGAACAAAGCAGGCTGTGGAAGGCAGGGCCACAGAGAATGGGATACATTACAGCTTTCCCTGGAGGTCCTGGGATTCCAGGTGGGCCTCTGAATCCAATGTCACCCTGCAGAGAACAGACATTATTGTGGTGCTGGGCTTGGCAGAGGATGGAGTAACAGAATCCCCACCTTGTACCACAACCTGAGAAAACACAAAAGCCCTGGAAAGACACCCCGTATCTCCTGCTGGTTTGCATGATAGATATGCAAAAAATCCCACTCTGAACAATGGGTTTTTACTCTGGATCTCCCCACCTTTGTACCTCTGATGTCATTCATGGCCTTGCTATCTTGATAACAGTCTTACTTCTAAATAAAGGCATGACTTCATCCAACTCAAAACCATTCAGCCTCTGGGCTGCTGGTCAAACACTGTGCCAAGAATCCAAAGCCTCAATGAGCTGGAGATTGACCCTGTCTTCACTGAGGAGCCTTTTTGTGTCCTGAAAAACCTTTATCCACCAGTGATTCTTTGGCTTTTTCCTTTTTTTTTTTTTTTTTTTTGCAAGATTCTGTAACATTGTCAGTCTTGCACTTTGGTTGGAATGATTCAGCCTGGCTGGGCCTGACCCTGCCCGTCCCTCGGGTGTGTGGATTCTCCTGACTTTGGAAGCTTGTTCTGATGGAGGGACTGCAGGGAGCAGCCCACCCTTTATGCCTTTACAAGTTTCCCAGTGGAATTCAGCAAGGGAAAGTGCCACTGGCACCTCTCAAAGGACAAACTGGTGGTGGAGAGGAAAAGACAAAAACAGAAGTTTTTTCTTACTCTGTCGCCGGCTGGACCCATTGGACCAGGGAGGCCTCTTAGTCCTCTTGGGCCCTAATTAAGAAAACAAATCAGCTCCAACTCAATCACTGTTTGTGTAGCCAAGGGGACTGATGGCTCCACTGAGCTCCACAGTGCAAGGCCATGGGGATGGTGGGAAGAGGAGAGCTGGGGTTACCTGCAGGCCGACACCGCCGGGAATTCCGGGAGGGCCGGGAGGGCCAGGGTTACCCTGGGAGAGAAAAATCCATCAGACAGCAGGAGGGACAGCAGGAGCCTGCAAACACAGCCAGGGACATCCCTGTCTGGCTTCTCCTTGAGCTCACTCTCTCCCTCTTCAGAATTTGCTCTATGTTATAGACAATTTCTTCTATGGGCAAGAACATTCAGATGAGTCAGGAATTTATCCAAGTGATTAATACAGAGCTGTTCCTGAGCTGACATCCCTGCATGGGAAAGGAAAGCTGTTAACTCAAACTGATCTTAACATGATGATCCTTGGAAAGATGAACTTTCTTGGTCCTACAGGGAGAGCAGAGGAACCCAGTGCTCTTCAGTCAGATGTTCAGCCAACAGCCTCATTCCTCCCTGTCTCCTTAAAAAAAAAAATCACTTATTTCTCAAGGTGTTTTTAAAGAGAAAAATCCTCCCCCATTACTTCTAAATTGAAGTTTACCTTCTCTCCTTGTTTTCCTACTTCACCAGGCTCCCCTTTGTGACCAGTGTGTCCCTAGAAATAAGAGTTATGATTATTCACATCCCAGTAGAGCCTTGTTTTAAAATTAAATTTGGTGAGACAGCTGTGAAACCTAAACTCCCACATCCCAAATGACTTCCAGGGAAAACAGTCTGTAGGTGTGCTGTGAAAGGAGATCCCTCCTGGGGGTACCAGTGTATCCAGGTACCAGTGTCAGAATTGATGTAGTTCCAGGAAATGCCCAGATTTGGTTTTCCAGAGTGACTTGCACTGGACTGAGCTCATGGTCTGGAGGCAACTCTCAAATTCAGATCAGGGACCAGAATTCAGTTCCCACCACCTCAGAAAATGGGGATGAGTCACTCCTGAGAAACCCATTCTGCATTTTTAACTTCCCTTTTTAAGTCATCTTTAATGTCTGCATCATCAAGCTTGCAAAGAAATCCGCTGAAAGCTTTTCTATATGCTCTGATTCAGTTTGTGTCTTGGCTCTTTTCCTGTTATTGTGGGAGAGACACAGGCTAATTTCAGCCATGGCAGGTGTTATTCCTCACCACAACAAAGGTTCTGTGCACCACTTGCATCATAATTGGAGAGTTTCACAGGGTTTTCCACTTAATGAGCTTTGAATTTTGAGCAGTTATGCCCTAAACATTTTGTCTTTGTATTTGTATTTGTAATGATATTTATGACTCAGTGCAGAGACCAAACAGACCTGAGAAAGGTCACTTCAGGAGGAATTGAGAGCATTTCTCAGGAGTTCTCCCACTCACTGCCAACTTCTAAATCCTGCTAAAATAACTTGAGTCACTTTTCACTTTGTCTCACTGCTGGAGTCCATAACTGCAAAGACTTCATGTGAACCACAGAGGGGACAGAGGAGGAGATGTTTAACTCCTGAGGGCTGAAACCTTGAATTTACCTACCAGAGCCCAAGGACTAAACATAAATCTGCCTGGTACTACACTGGCTATAAAAACAACAATTGTATTATATTAATTATGTAAGTTACATTTTGCAGTTTAAGAACTGATGAGGATTTTCCAGCTCTCAGGCCTGGAAAGGCAGCACCTGGTTCTTGAGGCAGCCCTGAATTTCTGCCCCTGTTTGTTCCTGTCCATCAGCTCTGCCCCACTGGCCTTGCAGGGGTTTTTAATCTATGCCAAGGGTTAAATTTCATTTGTAGGACTAAATGCCAATGCATGGCTGGTTTGGGAGGTGTGGAGCCTATATATAGAGACTATATAATTTAATGGCAGGGGTTCAGGTGTTTATTTTGGGAGTCAAATCCTGGTGTTGCAGGTGAGGTTTCCTTACCTTGAAGCCTGGCATTCCTGGGGGGCCTGGGGGACCTGGTGGGCACAGAGCTGGGCACTGCAGGGAACAGAAACACTTTGGTTTAACAGGCACATCCAGGGAGCCTGGCTTCATCCTTTAGGTGGAAAAGTCATGTGGATTTTGGCTCTAAATTCACTAAATCTAGTGGAATCACAGAATCATGGATTGACCAACATTTCCCTATGGAATGGGGTCCTAGAGCTCCTGCTAAGCCACAAAATAATGATTTATGAACAGCCTGCTCCACTTTGAGAGTGGACAGAGATTTTCTGAAGGCTGACAGTGTCCATGGTCCAAAATGCTGAGGAACCCAAGTTTCCCAGTGAAGTTGGATCTGTTTATTTAAATCATAGGACCCTGTTTAATCCTCTGCATTAACTGACCCCAGCTGATTTCCTTTAGCCAACTCCTTAAGTGATACAAGGCACCAGAGTTAGTTGAAGGGCACCAATAAAAAACCAATTCCTATAAGCAGATATCTGCAGATGTCTAGGGGTGGGAGAGCCCCTGGTGGGAACTCCAGCTTGACTGGGAACAGATCAGAGCATCCATGGAAATTTAATGAGGAAAAGGCCATACTCTTGAAACTTTACAAATAACTCTTAATTTGTTTTGTTTTTTTAAAATTTTAGCACAACTTCAGGCAGCACCTCTGTAGCAAAAGCTCAATTTTCTAGTATATTCCACAGGGTAACTTAAATTAAACATGCAGAAATAGCATCATTTTCTATTAACTCCCATGTGATGTGCCATAAGGCAGTCTAAACTGACTCGGAGCTTTTTTTGGGGCACGCCAATTAGAAAACCAAAGAAGCTGTCACAACAACAGCTGTGAAATCTGCAAATGTCACTTCCATCGTTCATGGACTTAACACTCCTTTTGTTCTCCTGAAAGAAAGGGATCAAGGCTTTCTCCTAAAGAAGGAAACCTAAACAAAGCATATGTCCATAGGACCCCGATGCCACCATCCCTGGAAATAAACAGTGCTGCACACACAGCCCTTCCTGCTGCAAAGCAGGACTGGGAGCATGAAAAGCTGTTGTGTTTTACCAAATGCTGGAGTTGTTCAGCACATGAAGAATGCATGCAAAATGTGCATTTCAGGAAGCAAAAACCAAAGACAAAAATCAAAGACTGGTTTGGGTTGGAAGGCACCTCGAAGCTCATCCCATTCCAGCCCCCTGCTGTGGGCACCTTCCACTATCCCAGGTTGCTCCAAGCCCTGTCCATCCTGGCCTTGGGCACTTCCAGGGATGAGGCAGCCACAGCTTCTCTGGGAAATCTGTTCCAGTGCACATCTGCCTCCTGAAAACATTTCAGTCCAGGAAACACACACCCCACTCTTGTGCATCCTGGTAAGGTGGTTTAAACCCACATCTGCAGGGCTAAACAGGGCATGTTACCTGGTCTGACACTCCCCCAGCTGTGCCAACCAGAAATCACATCAAGGATTAAACCAAAGCACATTTTCATGCTACATAGAGAAAAACCTACCTGAAGGTCCCCACCGCCATCAGGAAGGGCACCTGGAAGACCCTGCAATTCAGGGAATGGTGGCTTTTAAATACAAGACAAACACCAGGAGGAAACACAATTTCTAGGACAATTTTTACAGACCCAGCTCAGCTGGATCAGCACAAGGCACATGCTCAGCCCCACAGCCTAAAGTGCCCCAAAACCAGGCACATCAGGGGTGTAACCAGCCCCTGGAGATTCCCAGCTGGGCTTGGGAAGACTCTTGGGCCTTAGGAGATGGAGGCAGCAATTAGAGAGGAGCAGCTGTGCCTGCCTTCCTCCTGGCCTTGGGAATGACCTCCCAACCCCACTATTCAACACTCCAGAGAGGCCACAGCAAACCCAAAGTAAGGACTTGATTGCAAGCCCCACTTGCTGGCCCTACAAGAACAAATCCTGATCCAAGCAAGCACAGAAACCTCCCCTGAGAGAACAAGCCCACCCCATGCCCTGTGTGCCATAAAGGTGGGGTTCACTGGGTCCCTCCTCACACAGAGCACAAATAACAAACAGGAGATCATCAAAACATCCAAGAGCAGCCAGGGAAATGTCCCTGCTCTCCTCAGAGCACGCTGTTTATCCCCTGCTGAATGCTCATGGCAATGGCAGCAAATTAAAACTGCAGCAAGAAGAAAAATCAAGACTCCCCCCAGAAATTTTTTGACATTTATTTGCAAGTCTCAACTTACAGGAGGCCCAGGTGGTCCAGGAGGCCCTGGGAATCCTGGCAGACCAAAAGGTCCCTAAAAGGAGAGAAAAATAAGAATTCCCTTTCAATGTGAATGCAAAGAGATGTGAGGTGGGGCTACCACAATAGCACTTCAGAGAGAGGTAAGAGACAAAAATGAAACTCATTCCTCTGTGGTTGTGGCACATTCAGCAAATGAGGATTAAATGGTAGGAGAAACTCACAGAAGGGCCCCGAAATCCATGTCCACCTGGGAGCCCACTGGGTCCTGGAGGCCCCTGTAGAACAGAGAGAATGGCTTTTACATCTGTGGTGACCTTGACACCCCAAAGCCCAGGGGCAGCCACAGCTGGGCTGTCCCCACCTGCCCAATCCCCCCGAGGAGCTCCATCCTGCACCACGCCAGCAGCTTCCCAACACACATCTTGCTTCTTACCCCACATTCCCCTGGAATTCAGAATTCACTGCCAGTCTGCATCCCTCAGGCACAGGGCAGCTCCCAGGAGCCCACCAAACAAAAGCTGCCCCAGAGTTGGGCACTTGCACTGTTCAAAGGCTGCTGTGCCTTGAATTTACTCCAGAGCCAGCTTCCCCAGGGTGGGGGCAAGCACAAAAACCCCACAAGGTCAATGATCTGCAGGACTCCACGTCCCTCTGCCTGGCAGAGTAGGAGGACCTGAGGCCTGGGGTGGGTTTGTAACATTCAGGGTGTCCAATAAAATCAGAATATTAATTTATAACCTTTTTGGAAAAAAAATAATCTTGTTACTTACTGGAGGTCCTGGTAGTCCTTTGCCCTGAAAACAACATTTGAGACAGTAAAAGATCACTCAGAAACCAAACATACAGGAATAAAAGAGAACCTCAAAAAACACTGCTATTTTTTTTTTTGTTCTAAGTTTCCTTATCACTCCCTTGCCCCTAATGATTCTAACTTGCAATCAGAGCAGAGTCTTGATGAATTCTTTTGCTGCCTCTAATAATTTGTATTCCCTTTCCATCTCCATTACCTATGAGACATCTGTAAGAGGTGTGTGGTGACATGAGAGTGGGGCATGGAGAGGAAGAAACCATTCCAGTTTATCTATTTCTCCTCTTTCTTATCCAAATGATAGCATTTGATCTGTCAGTCTGTATCCCAAGCTGGTTTGCTTTTAGAGCACCTCAGAGAATAAAACCAGATCTGTGTTACCAGAACAGGTTACACATACATATTTAAACATTTCAAACAGTATTTTCACTAATTCTGGCTTTGATCCTTTTGTTTGGGGTACAAAGCTTCCCATCCTCTCTTGGTGATGGTTTTGGCATTACAGTCCACACTTTCATCACATGTGCTGTTCTGGGAGGTACTTACAGCTGGTCCAGGTGGCCCAGCAGGTCCTAATGCACCCTATGGGAATAAAACAGGATAAAAATTAGCAGGGATAAAAGAGAAGCCTCCATATGGGGAGCCACCAAGGCCTGCTCTCCTTGGCACCAATCTTTGCTTGGAAACTCCAGCAGTGTCTTGCAGAAACAGGACATGACTGGAGATGCTCAGCTGAATTCAGACATGTAAGGACAAAAACTTATGGATAATAACTCTGAAAGTCCCAGCTGGCCGCAGATGGATACCTAAATATCCTCCATGAATATCTAAATGTTCATAACTTGTATTATATCTAATTGAAATATTCTTATTCATAGTACATTCCTATTGTAGACCAAATGACTAAGTTTCCTAAAACTATTAACAACATTTGGATTTGTTCTAGTGAATTTTATTAATTCATCAATTTTCCTTTCAAGCAAAGCCAAAGATTTGGCAGCTTCTGCTTCTTCACTTGCTTCCTTGACAAATCCCCATCTCCTTTTCCTTTTCCTTTGAGTTCCCACTCTTAGGCTTGACTGGAGCCTGGTGAACTCATGGCTTAGACTAGAATGAAGTCACTCTTGAAGCTGTGAAATTCCTGCTTGGCAGAGAGACCTCTTTAACCCCTTTGCTGCATTGCAGAGCTGCCAGCTGGCTGTAAAATTAACTATGGGTGGTAATCCTGAAACAGAACCCCAGAATGGGTTGGGTTTGGAAGGGACATTAAAGACCACCTGGTTCCACCCTCCTGCCATGGACAGGGACGCCTTCCAGAGGACCAGGGTGCAGGGACAAAGCTGGAACATCTTGCACAGGGACAAAGCTTCCAAGGCTTCTCCCCAGCCCAAACCTCTTTTCCAAACATTCCCAAAATGCTGCACAGAAACACCTTGAGGATGATGTCCTGAGCTGGAGTTAAACAGGATCTGCCCCTGGGACCAGGGGAACAAGATGGATGGGCTGACCTGGAGAATATCCCAGCACACACAGCTCCCACTGTGACCCCAGGGATGACACCTGCCCTCCCCACATGTTCTGAGGGCCAGAGGACATTAGGAATGTTTTCCCTTGTTAAGCTTAAGGAGAAAGACACAGAGGACCCAAGGCCTTGTTAAGAGTGGTCTGGTGAGCAAAGAACTGTAATCCAATAAAAATCAGCTGTGCTCTGAATGTCAGCTCATTCATTTCTCCTGCTGCAGGTTACTCTGCTCTGCCTCCAGGCACTTTTATTTATCTTCAGGCTAAAAATCCTTACAACTGCTGATGGGACAAGCTGGGATCTCCTCCTGCAAGGAAAACATCAAATTCCTGGCGCCTCCTGACTTGCACCCTAATTCTGAAAGCAGCTGCATTGCCCTGTTCTGCTTTGTCCAACAGGCCAGAAAGTTGGCAGAGCACCCAAAATGCCACATGTTGGCCCTTTACACTCCCAAATTTTGATACCTTGGAGGGTGTAAGGTGCAGAATGCAGCAGTGAAAATTCCTGGTAAGGTAAGAGATTGTGAAGCCCCTGAATGAGCATTAAGGCAAGGAAGAGACTCTAATTTACATCTCAATTTTAATAACATTGTCTGACTCGACTCATTCTCCTGGTAACAATGTTCCTTCTGTTTTGATTAGAAAACACTATCACCATAATTTTTCACTTTGTAGTAATTTACTCTGTGAATAGACAACTATGGAGTGTAGAAAACACTTGATTATTATGACACTCATAAACAGAAGTGAATAATTATGTTTTCCTTATTGCTTTCACTGGAAACTTTAGCAAACAGCAAACTTTAAAATGGCCTTTGAGAACTTTCTGATGAAGGACACCAGTATCCATCATGGAGGTCAGCACCCAGCTCAACCTCAGCTAAAAATAAAGGGGTTTTAAGACAGAAAAAATAAGTAGACTTGATCTAATGAGTCTTTAAGCAGAAGCAGGAGGAAAGCTAATGGAGGCTGAGAGCAGCAGGAGATACTTAGGATAAAAATCCTTTTGGAAATGTTTGGCAATAAAGTGTTACTGAAAACTGGCTTCCATGAGCCCACTTCCCTATGCTAAACAGCTTTGCTCTCAGACACTCCAGTTCAAAAAATTAAGCTTATTTAGAAGAAATCAGAGTGCTAAGCATGAATTCAAACCCACAGCAATAAGTAAACAGCTTATTTCAGTGAGTCCTGCAAGACTGAAATATGTTCTAAAAGACAGGGAGAAAAAATTCAAGCTGGGCTAACAACACTGTCCATTTAGAGTGATAAAGCTTTTAGAGGCCTTCCCTTTCCCCAGGTTTTTATTAGACCAATTAAAACAATTTCCTAGATGGACCACTGACCTTGAAAAGCTCCCATAAATGATGAGGGGTCCCAGGTTTGCCCCAGGCTGCCAGACTGAGTTACAAGATATGGGAAAGCGCAGCAAACCCGAGCACGCAGAGAGGGCAGCTCTGTCTGGGGGCTCCTGCCCAGCAGCCAGAGAGGAAATTCTGCTGCCCAGAAATTATCTGCTCAATTACCCTGCAAGGCAGGAGCTGTGTGCTAACCTGGGCATGGGCACTGCCCAGGTTAGCACACAGCCACCCAGCCCAAAACAGGGCACAGAGCAGCTCACAGCCTTCTGCGGGTGGTCCTGAGATTTCCTACTTTAAAAATCAGGGATCTGTTCCCAGATGCTGCTGGACTCTTGCCACGGAATGTCTGAGAGTGGCCAGGATTTTACAGGCCTGAATCTCTGGGGAGAAAGGTGGGCACAAGGGACAGGAAAGGAGTGGGGTTTAGGGTGGTGGTGATGGACAGAGGCTTGGAGCTGTGATTAGGATATTTGGGTCCTGCCACTCAACTTTCCCAGTGGCCACACAAACTTTGCCTGTCACACGGGGAAGGATGAAGAGCATATCACAAATACATGGCTGTACCACTCATCTCCTGAAATAACTCACAGATTTTTTAGATCTCAGTAAGTCCTTGGGGCAACAAGTGGATTATTGGGATGTAATGAACAGGTACAAAAATCCAGCCCCTCACTGCAGCCCTGAGTCCAAGAGGCCAGCAAGCCAGCTGTGGACACAAGGCTTATATTCCCATCTGGGAGACAGGAGAATAGCCATGCTGGATCACAGCCTGTGCTGAGAGGCTCATTAATGATTATTCCTTAATGTCACAAGGAGGTCTAAAAGTGGGTGATGAGTGTGGATGATCTGAAGGACATCTGTATCATCTCTGGCAGATGTTTCTCTGTCCCTGTGGTGCCCCTCAGCAGAGCTGGAATATGCAGGAAGCAGAAAAGCTCTTATTTCTTGCGAGGCTGGCTAGGGAACACTATGACAACTAATAATGCAACCATATGGACAGTTCCAGAAATAATAAAGGGCAAAAGTTCAAACAATTAATACACAGCAGCATTAATTATAAACAACACAGATCTGCCAACTCAGACTGCAGATAAAGGCCAAAATAACTTCACTTTGATAAACTTCACAAGTGAGTCTGTTGGCTGCTTCAGGAAACTTTTTGGATACTTGAAATATCCCCAGTACAGACACCACTGAGGCAACCCAAGCAGGTTCAAAGCTGTTTGAAAGAAAGGTGGATTTCATGCCCTGCCTAATGAACATTTCAAGGATCTTCTGCAAGGGTTTACATGAGAATCAACACTTGAATATGACTAATTTACAGCAGAATTGAAAATCATCCCTACAATCAGTGGCAACAACCATTTAAAGGGACTTAGGGTGTAATGAGGTACTCACACGGTCTCCTGGAGGCCCATTTGGGCCAGGGGGGCCATCAGTTCCTGTTAAACCCTGTAAAAAAAAACAACAAAAGATCATGAGAGTGAGATCCTGCCAGCAAAAGATCTTCAAATTGTTCTTATATTCCTTAATTCAGACTAAGGTGCTTCTCCTTCAATTTTTCCTGACATGCAAGACATAAATGTAGGTCCAGGACTCGCATTCCTTCTCCAGTGGGAACAGAGAAGGTTGATGAGACACATCAGGGAAATGCTCCTGCCCATGGGAATGATTTAAAAGACTTTAGAGAAGATGACAAAATACTCACATCCACTCCAGGAAGGCCAGGCAATCCAGCTTCACCTGCAGCTCCAGGCTTCCCTGGTGCACCTTTTGGCCCCTACATGAGGTAAACAGTCAATTATTATAACAAAAGAACAAAAGAAATGTGGCAAGGATGCAGGGATGGAAGCTCATGTGTTGATGTGTTAACCTTACACCACACAACAGGAGAGAATCTCATGAATCTTGCTATGAATCCATATCCAAATGTTAAATTTCAGTGCTTTGGCTCATTGCCACCTGCTCACAAGCTGTTGTTAGTAGGGGGTAGGAAGGGATGCAGTAAGTGGCCAAAGCAAAGGGCTCTGCCACCTGGTACAGTTTTGTTTGAGCACCTGGTACAGGTTTGAGCACCCCTTGGCAGACTGAGGGGCTGAAGCAGACTCAGAGCAGTGCCAAAAATACCCATGTGATGTGGCTTGGTGCCATGGCACCTGTCATATATTATACAGGTGATGCACAAGCTTTATCTCACTTATTTCATTCATTAATTTAACTTTCATTCTGTTCCACTGATAGCAGTGAAGCAGAAGAACGTGTTTGTCCCCTGGGGCAGGGCTGAGCATCCCCACTCCTGGGAATTCTGTGGCAGATGAAGAGGAAAGTGCCAGCCCGTGCCCTGTGTCCTCACAAAAGGATGGAAAAGTCAATGCCAAGCAGGAAATACTTACTGGTGGGCCTGGCAAACCAGGAGGGCCTGGCTCTCCCTAGAACAAAGAGAAGAAGGTGTTAGTGCTGAACCTCTCTTTGTTGACTTTTTCCAGTTTCACGTTTCCAGCTGCACTCAAACCTCTCCTTGTGCCCACTCCAAGATTTACCTCACTCAATCTCATGAGCTCTAAACCCTGCTACCTCCTAAGCAGGATGAGCCTGGATAGCCTTTTCCAACATCTACAGTAGCAAATTTGGGGAAATCCACATCCCCAGCCTCCCAGAGAGAACCAGTGACCCTGAACAGTGTCCCCTGAACTTCCAACTTCTTCCACACAAGTTAGAATTTATTTGCACTCGGGATTGCCTTCAAGTGGGGCAGAGAGGAAGCTGGATGGGGGTCACAGCTTCCAAACATCTTCATGGTGAAACAGAAGGACACAGGGATAAACTCCAGCTTTCCAGAGCACAGTATGGAGCTGTGGTACTGCCAGGAGCTGGGGATTACCACCAAGTGAAGAATGAACAAACTGTCTACAATGATTTTCTTCATATGACTAAACTTGGACAGGAAAAGCAAACAGGCACAGCCCCCAACTGATTTCCACCTAATCCAATTGCACAATCTGGATTAAACACAATTTTCATATAATATTTCAGAAGTAGTCTATTTTTGAAATATTGTAATAAAAAGAACCTTTCAAGAACAGCAATAAAGGTGTTTGTGAGACAGTATTTTGTAAGTCTTTAATCACTTGTTCCAGCTCAGCTAGATGTAATGACATTCATAAGCTCCAAATAACAATTTGGGTTTTTGTTTTTTTTATTGTTTTATTTGTATTTATATTGTTAGGTCCCAAAAGAAGCAAACATTTGTGAAGAGCAGGAGCTTGACTGGAGCTTGATTTCCAACTCATCCCACAGAAAAACACTTTGTGTCCAGTCCAGAGGGTACCCTGCACTCCTGGCTTTAGGATTAGTGCACTGAATATTGTCAGAGGTGAATATTGTGCACTGAATATTGTGAGTGGGAAGGCTTTGGGCAAGTCTCTCCAGCCTGGAGCTGCTCAGGATTTATGTCCTGCACCACTGACTGACCAGAGGGCCCCTAAACAGAGGCATCTTTATGCTCTGACTTGCTGAAGCAACTCCTTCAGTATCCTTTGCCCACAGTTTTTCCATAAATAGTTATCATATCATGGCTGGGGAAGGTTCACTGCCAAGGAAATGAAAGGAGCAGTTCTTTTGAAATGAAAAGGCAGCTGGAAATGGCAGTAGGGGTGGTTTGCTCCTCCAGCACCTGGGATTGCCAGCCCCTTGCATTTTTCCTTTCCTCTGCAGTGGGAATCTGCACAGGGAGGTCACAGCAGCAGCAAAGGTTTCTGGGCAGCATCTTAAACCTTGATCCTGCCGTGGTGGACCCCTGCAGGACTCTGCAGGAGCAGCAGAACTTCAGAGAGATGAAGCAAAAGCCTAATCAGGGTTTGTACCCCTGATGCCAGATCACTGGGAATTAGAGGCAAGGGCTGTCAGCAAAAGGAAATGCTCTCCTGGTGCTGGGTGAGAGAGAAGGAAGTTTACTTTTTCTCAGCAAGTCAAGCCAGGAAACAGAAGGCAGGGGAAAAAAAAAAAGCAGCTTGATTTTTGAAAAGTGACAATTGCTTATTAGCAATTTAGGGAATTACATCCCCAGAAATAATTCACAGGAACTTGTCACTAATTCTTTCCATCAAAACATGCTGCTTCTAGTCTCGGGAGAGAAAGATTTTGCTTGTTACTGAGTATGAAATGAGAAGCTTGTTAAAGCTTTTAATTATAAAATATTTCAGAGGGGCTTAATGTTGCAGCTCCCCTGAAAGGCAGGGATGAAAGCTGGACCTTCAAGAAATTGTGGTGATGGAGTTCATCCAAGGAGATATCCTGAATAATTCAGCTGCACGCTCTGCACCTCTCCCTGCTGATGGGAAGAGACTGCTGAACACCTCAGCAGCACTCACTCAGCTCAAAGACATCCAGCAACACTTCCACACTTTTATCCAAAGTCACCTGTCAGGATGACCTGGCTGGAGTGGCTTACAGAGTGCAGGAATAACAATGCAGAAAATTTTCAATTGCCATTTTCAAAAAAAAGTCTCAGCACCAAAAGAAAAATAAAATAATGGTTTCACTCTGCAGAGGCATAATTGACACTGCCACTCAGGATCCACATGACCCTCCTCATGCAGCACTAGGAAAATGCAGAACTGTGCTGAATTTTACATACCATCATTTTTTGGAGTGTACTGACAAAAAAAAGGCAGCTCTTAAGCAGGGAGGTGTGTGACTCTGCTCAACACCAGCCACAGCCCTGCATTTCCTCCTGTGCAGTTCCTGAAAGGCCTCGATGTCCTGCTGAAGAGCAGGAACCATCCTGGAGCCTGCCCCTGGACAGCCAGACCTTCCCACCTGAACAGGGCACCTGACATCCTCTGTCCACAGGAGGTATGGGCTCCAAGTCTCTTTTTCTGTGTAGCCAAAACTCCAGAGTGAAGTTGGGACTGCAGGAGTTTGCACCTTAAACACTTTACTCAGCCATTTGGTTTATTAGGACTAAGTTCTTCACATTAATTAGATGTTGTTATTTGATCCTGTCCCATGGGGAGCCTTCCAAAGCTTTTAGTTGTGGATAAAGGGGTGTAGGTCCACATGACTGACAAATCCCTGGGCTCCTGTTTCCAGCAGCAATCAGAAGCCATGCTGGTGCTGTTCCAGAATTAAACATCCTGTAGAAAGCAGGAACTGAACAACTACAGGGTTTCTTTCCCATTTCCTCTTTGCAGAAGTTGAAACTTGAAGTCTGAAGGGCTTCATCCTCCCCAAACTCTTCTTTTTGCTTCCACAGTGAATCACAGCCAGCCTTTCCCACAGAGTGCTGGCCACAGTGATGTCCTGCTGCGGGGACTCCACTGCTGCAAATGGGAACCAGTGTCCTCTGCCCTCTTCTGAAGTGTCCCCTGGAGCCTTTGTGACAACACCAAAACCAGTGGAAGCTGCTGAGGCGCCAGCTCTGAGCATCTCACACTACAAAACCAGAGGGAGATTCCCAGGAACACAGACTCCTTTAGCCAAAAGGACACTCAGAGGGAGCAGCTGCAAATCAATGAGGTTCTCTCTTCAGCCCAGCCTGGCTCAGGGAAAGCTCCCCACTGCAGGCACAAACACTCCTTGTTCACCATGTACCAGAGAACTCACATATATATTTTTTTTTACCTCCTTATCCAAAAGAAAATGACCTGCATGGAATGAATAGATTTTTTCAAGGTTGCTTAAGGGCCCAATTCCAATAAATGTACTTCAGACGAGCTTTAAAAACCCCTGCACTATTCCATAAGCAGCTCAGAGAGACAAGAGCTGCTCAAACTGGAAACTGAAGCAGGAACACAGACTTTTGCATTTGATGTGGTCTTGCTGAAGGTCCATCTGATGCTCATTTTATCCACTGCCAACTACAGGACATGATTCAGTCCTTATCCAACAGATGATGGAAGCAATATTTTTAATTTCTATGGAAACATCAATTAAAATTAACAGAAGAAGATTTTCTCTTCCATTAAGTCCTGGGTTATGTAGTCTTCCCCCTCTGCAGGAGGTGTAAGGAGCTGCTTGCTGAAACAAAGGCTCTTCATTTTATTTGCCTTTTGGGCCACTGCAAACTCATGTCTGGCAACACAAGAGCCAGATCCTGACACGTCGTGTGCCAAAGTGAGGGATAAGCATGATGACAATATTGAAATAAAACTAATGAGACAAAAGCAGTGTCCAGTGCTGCATATCTGAGTCTCTTGTAGTCCCTCTAGAAATGTAGATGCTCTGAAGCATTACATAAATCTGTCTCTGAACTGCTGAACGTGTGCTGCCCCCACACACATCGTACCCCTGCACTCAACCTTGCACCAAAAGAGAAATATTCTGCTTTGCAAGCAGGGTCACAAACCCCTGAGCTCTCCCTGGGGACAGGGGATTGGTCCTGCCAAGAACCTGCTCAGCACCTCCACTCGCTGCTCAGACTCCTGCAGAACGAGGTCTCTTGCGAGGACAGTGATTTTTCAGGTCCATCCCCCCAAAGGATGTCCAGAGGCTGCAGATGTGGAGAACAGGAGCAGCTTCTTTGCCCCACCCCTCACCCGAGCCAGCCCCTGCCCTGTGTCACTCACATCAATGCCGTCCTTGCCAGATGGTCCAGGGGGTCCTCGTGGTCCAGGAGGGCCTTGTGGTCCAATTCTCGGAAGGGACTGGGAAAAAGTGAGAGACAAGAGCTTATTTTTCCATCAGAAGGAACACACAGGCTAGATCAGAAATCAATAGCCAAGTCCTAGAGCTTAACCCTAAATCTGCACTCCTCCTCCAGCCTGGATGGGCTCAGTATTGCTCCAGAGCAGTGCAAGGCTCTCTGGAAAACCCTTTTGACTGAGCACATTCCCAGCTCCTTTTACTGGTGGTCTATACTGGGAATGCAAACTGGTCACTGGGCAGCAAAGGGGTTTTGTTATATGGGAAATTGTTCTGACTACAGGCACGTTTTGGGCTGGGCAGAGGAGGAAATGCAGAGCCCATGGAAGAGGTGCCAAGTGCTTGGTAGAAAGAATTAATTTATAGCCCCAGTCTGATGGGGTGATGGCAAAGCCAATGAAGCCAGGAGGAGAAAGTCTCCTCTCTGAGCACAATGCCACTTGAAAATCTTGGATTTTGGAAAGGTCTAAGGTGGGGGGAAGGAAAGAGAAGTCAAATAAATGACTTCTGTATGGAGAGGGCTCCAGAGAGCAACTTACTGTAGCTTCAGGGAACAAAGGTTTCATTGTAGAAGCAGCTCTGCTCACAGCAGAGTTCTGAATTCCCAAGCCAGGCTGCGAAAATTCCTCACTAACAATGAAAAACTCACTGAGGAGTCACTTCCCCAGACAATAATATTAACACCAGACAGGGAAATTTAATACAGCTTCATGTCTCAAGTGAGCAAAGGTTAAACATTCTGTAAATGTAAAATTTGAAAACTGATTGAGGGAATGAGTAAGAAATTCTGATTCAGATAAAGACCAAGATCAGATCGGTTTCGCTGCAGATCTGTTACTTCGTTGTAAAAGCAAACTGTTTCTCTTGCATCAACATATCTTCCCTTTCCAAGGCTTTCTCTCTCCTAACTGCAGTCCTGAATGGGGAAATCACTTCTACAAAAAGATAAAGCAGCAGTTTTTACACCTACCCACACAGGTACAAACCCAGGCACACATTTGTAATAAACTTTAGAATAATAGCCTGCCTATTGCCACGTTTCACCCCACAGCTACAACACACACAGACCACTCTTTTTTACCCGACAGGTTTTTCCTTGAGCATGAGACAAATGAGTTTTCTCACCTGAGCTGATGCTGTGGCCAAGAGCTGACACAGGGAGAGGAGCCCAAGAGCAGAGAATCCAGCCATGGTGCCCAGGCTCTGCCTCTCTCCCTTTCCTCCGGGGCAGCCAAACCCTTTCTCCTCAGGGTCCAGCAGATCCCTCCTCCTCCTCCCTGGTCTCAGCTTACAGAGCAGAGACTCCTCGCCTCCAGATAAACCTGTGGCTCCAGCTGGAGCAAGGCGAGAGGGGCCGAGCTTGGAGGAGGTGGGAGAAGGAGGGGGAGCAGCAGGCAGGCAGAGCAGCTCTCATCCATGCCCTGCTGGGCAGCCCCAGCCTCCTGCTCCCGGAGCCTATGGAAGGGCTGCACTGGGAGATGGGACACAGGAGCAAAACCGGGTTACTCCAGCTGCAAACACAAAGCTGTTCCTTAGGGCTCACCCAGGACATTTCCCAAAGTGTGTCTCCACCTCTGTGCTGGACAGGTAAAAACCACAGCAGGGTGAGCTTTCGTGCCCGAGGCCACCTAACTGAGACAGGGACAGTAACAAACCTGTAAGAGTGCTCGATCACTACAGAGAAATGCACTTACTGCTTAGCCAGGTGCTTTGTTAGCTCTGGAGGTTGTTCACATCTGGTTTTGGGGTTTTCTTTAAGGTGATCTGAAAGGCACAGATTCCTTGAGAAGCGATGAATGCTGGTCAGAAAACAATCACAGACAGATACAAGGAGGAAGGAAAAGAAGGAACATTCTCAAAGCCACAAAAAAAATCTGACATATTGTGAGGAAGAAAGAGGACAGTTCCCTGCCTGGTGATCCCAAATGACAATAGATTAATGAAGATGCATCTCCTGCAATGAGCTTCACAATTCCCTTTATTGATTTAAGACAATTTCATCCAAATCAGGGCTTGGAAGTGGAGAGGAACAGTGGCCAGCTTCCTCAGGGCTGAAATGACACAGCTAATTTGGTTAGAAGAGAAGTGGAAAATCAAAGCTTAGCAACTGAAATACCTGATTTTAGCCTGACATCTTTACACCAGGAGCCTGTAAGAGCACACAGTGCTTGTCTGTCCAGCTCCCCAGCAGCCAGTATTCCTAGAGCTTTGGCAGAGGACTCAGATTTACCAAGTTCCCACAAGATCCTGTGGAACAGGCAGTTGGGGACAGAAAGGGAATGTGCGTGTCTAAGTCTTCTGATGGCTTCAGAGTAACTGGAATCCTTTATTAGACACCCCAAAGAGGAAGAGCAGCTTTGCACAGCTTGTACCTCCTCATTCACACAGAGGCCAGCTGATGGCAGGAGGGAAGGCAAAGCAGACCCAAATTCCTCAGGCACACCTCCAGAGCAAGTCAGGGCTTTGGGGGGCAGGTGGAGCCTGCCCATGCCCAGCACAGGAAGGGCCCTGGGGTGTTCTCCTTCAAACCCATCCCACCAAAAGGATTCCTGGTAACCCTCTCACCCCACACCCACTGGCAGCACAGCTGAGGGGACATGATGACTTAGAGGAATTTTTACAGCATAGACACCCCTGTTCTTGTGTCCTGAGGGGAAAAAACCCTGAACTGAAGCTCCCACAGCCAGGCTGGGCAGGTGCCCTCCTGCCTGGAGCCCCAGGGCATGCTCAGAGTCCCGGTTTGCTCTGCAGAGCACCACACCACCTGTGGGAGAAGAGCTGCAAAAGCAATACCAAATATTCTGAAACATCCAGAGATCCTGTCCCTCAAAGTGTTCAAAGCCAGGCTGCATGTGGCTTTGAGCAACCTGGTCCAGGTAAGGTGTCCCTGCCATTGGCAGGGAGGTTGGACCAAGATAAACTCAGGTCCCTTCCAACCCAAACCATTCTGTGATTCTATGAATTTCCAAGCACATCACTAAACAGGCAGCATGGGGGGGCAGGGGTGTCTTTTCCCCAAAAACATTCACTGGGCAAGTTTTAGAGGTGAGGAAGACTGGGCATCACCTCCACATGGAAGCAGCAGCAGATGTGTGCCACGGGGAACCCAGCAGAGCACCCACTCACTGGAGGGCACCAAGCAACAGCTCATGGCTGCAGGAAGGAGGGTAAATACATGGTCATATTCTCAAAGATGAAAAAATGTAAGTGGAAACTGGTATGCATTAAAGTCATGCTTTAATAGGGGAATTAACATAACAGACTCTGTGATACAGCTCTGAGTGCTGGGAAACACTTTGTGAACTCACCACACACACCCACAGCCAAAACTAAACCTGGTAGGAGGGAAGGGGCTGGTCTGAGCACTCACTCCAGGCTGGGGCTCACAGTGAAATCCCATTAAACACAAAACCAAACCTCACCATAGCAAGATATAGGATCTATGCCCCAACTGAGCACATATTCACAATGAAAACTTCATTAAATAAGAAAATTACTATAAATCTGTACAAAAGCCACAATTAACAATTCTTAGGAATCCGTTAGGAAAGAATTATCACTCATCATCTTCAAGTATTTATATCTGTAGTTAAGTGTATTCTTATTGGCTATTTAACTCCATCTGTTCTCAAGAAGAAAGAAGTATTTAAAAAACATTAAAGCCTTTTTTCAGTACGTATGTGACCCTGAACATCTGATGTTAAGCTTGCAGACTTTTATTTCCACACACATATGTGGCATGCTGGATCAGAATCTACAGCCTGGGAAGACAAATCACCCCTCAAATTCCTTGAAAGATAAAGCTTCTTAAGAGCTGCAGCAGAGAGGAAAAACACTGACATTGCACAAGCTGCTGTATCTGCTCTCTGACCATCTCCAACAGAAACCAAACAGCACCAAAGAACCTCAAAACCAACCCAAACAACCTGAGCAAACAGCAAGTTCAGACCTTTGGGCTTTTGGAAACAATTTTCTCTGCTTCATGAAACAGATCCTCTGTTGTAAATTTGTAGGAGTGAAGGTGCTAAACTGTTTTAATGCTCCTTCAGACTCGGTGGAATATTGTGTAAGTGTGGCAGAACAGCTGACAGGGAGGTCAGGAACACTGAGGCAGGCAAAGAGCTGGCAAGGTCTGCAAGTAAATTCTTGAGGGCTGGAAATAAACGAACCAGACAAGCATAGCCTCTCCAATTAACGTTTCAATTAACTGCCCCACAAAGCCCAGTGGTTTCCAGACATGCTGCACTGGAACATGCCCTGGCTGTCTGGCATTAAAGGCAAAGCAACCCTGCCCTAAGTAGGAAAAAGGTTGGATCTGACACATCAAACATCATGCCATGGGCCTGCAGGAAAGAGCCTCCCCAGGCCACTGCAAATTACCAGCAAAAGCTGAAAAAAATGCACTGGGAAATATTTGTGCTGCTTTGCCAACTGAAAGATGAGGGCCTTTGAAACAGTCATGGACATAAAAATCTGTGGAAGACTATAAAGGGTCTAAAAGTGGTGGGAAAATCTGGGGAAGAGCACTCTGAAGAGTTTTATGCAAAACCTGGAGCTTTTTCTCTTAGAAACCAGTGGGCAACTTGTAGTCTTAACTCTAACAAGAACTACAAAGCAACCTCTGTGGGGATAAAGAGAAATAATTACTCAGCACTTTGCACCTCAGAGAACAGAATCTCTACACAAAGGTTCATGCTGGTCAGAGACACATTTTAGCTTCAGTTTTTTATCCCAGTCTAAAGCCAAACCTACATTCCTTACAGGAGGAGAGACATCTATACTGACATCAAGTGAAATCCATGTACTCATCTCTTTTAGAGAAATAGCACTTTTGCCAGGAAAATCTCCTGGTAAGGTACAGCCTTTCACAATAACAAACAGAAGTTACACAGAAGTAGAAAGGCCTGGCAAAGTAGGTCATGCTGTCTTACATTAAAAATTGTGTCTTTAATAAAAGTTAAGTAATTCAAACAAGGAGACAGATCAGTTTTCCTCTTCTCTTTCAGCAGGGACATTACCAGAATCAAAGCAAAGTGCAAAAATCCCCGTTGCTCCAAGATAGCCCTGAACATCAGATAAAACCCAGGAACAGGACATGGCCTGTCCACGAAGATGAGCAAATGAAGAGTTTTCCTCTTTAGGGTAACCAAGAGCTGGATCTCAGTGAGTTTACTAGAGATGATTAAAAAAACATGGAAGAGTGAAAGCAAGATAGGGGCGAGCTGGATCATCCCACAGGAAGTTTATTCAGTTCTCCAAGCCACCAAAGCTGGCTCCCAGCACACAGGGCAGTGCCATCTCTGCTGGCTCGGGCGCTCGCTGTGCTGCTCTCACTGTGCTGCTCCCTGCTCTTCACTATGCTCTGCTGCATCCTCAGAGCCTTCACCTTTTTCTGGTGGGACCTCAGCACTGCTTTCTTCAGGACAAGTGAGTGTGGTGCTCTGCTCATGACTCTCTGGAGCTTGCTTCTTGTCTGTGTCCTCTGCTTGTCCTTTTTCACCTGCCTTTTCCTGCTGTTCTAGCCCATCTAGTTCACTTTCACCGCCCTGGAGTTTGCTGTTGCAGTGGTGCTGATCACCCCCTGCTGAGTCTTGAGCTCCACTCGACTTCCAGCCATCCTTGCTTGGAGCAGTGCAGCCAGTCCTGGGGGGCCTGGCATCAGCCGGGGATCTCACAGCCCCATCACCTGCACCACCATCCCCACCCCCCTTCTCACTTGGCACTTCCACATCTGCATTTTTCTCACTGGCATTTTCTTCTCCAGCCTCACCGTTTGCAGCAGGATTTGCCTTGGCATCAGAGGCTGAGGGCTCCATGCTCAGGTTTATGGCCAAGCTGACTGGTTTGTTTCTCAATGTTTTTTTATCAACTTTCCTGCGTTTCACAGCTGCATCCGTGGCCTCCGGCGCCGCCAGCTCTTTGGTGCTTGAATCTTCTTCCTTCAGTGCTTCCTGCTTCTCTTCTGCCTGGGAGACTGGGTCTGAGGAGGGGATCTCTGCATCAATTGCACACTCTCCCAGATTATGGGAAATGTTTTCAATATCAGCAGAGGTTTTCAATGATCCATCTCCTTTAGCATCTGCCAAATTTGCATTCAGCTTTCTCTTCTTGCTCTCCTTTGTGCAGTCATTCTCTGCTGTACCATGCACTTCTTCAGCTTCACTTTTTAAATCCTTTTCCTCCAGCTGGGC